GCATGGTATGTATGGAAAGGTCGTAATTTGTTGACTTTTGTTGAGTTAAAGTCATAGTTAACTATTGATAAATTGCATTACCGATTGATTTTTAATATCGGCAAGTTTATCACGGATCAGTGGTGGATAGATTTAGTTACAGAATTCGCTTTTGAAGATGCTCCAATTTAAACAATGGGTACAAACAAAAGCTGGTGGTACCGGACTAACGATACTTTCTGTAGACAAATTTGATGGAGGATACAAGGATTGAGTTTCACAACTCTTAGTTCTTTATTCACTCTAGTAGAAACATGATGCGTCACAGTATGAAGCAGATGTTTGGAGGACATGCAGGAAGAAGAATATAGTGTTTTTTTTTCTAAGTCTAATATTTATTATATAGTAGAGATGGACCATCAGAGATCACTGGATTCTTGCAGCTATTTTCTATACTGAAGTGGAAATGACAGAGCATTTTCACGGATTTAGTTGAGGGATTGCTGATTTGATGCAAGGGTCAGGATTCTAGATGGGATATTGGTTGACTGATAAAATTAAATCAGTTTCATTTTGTCTATTTTGATCGAACTGGTAAGATATCAATTCATACGAATATAACGGATCACGAGACGGCTTAGATGGATGCAAAGTGTGAATAATAACACTTGTTATTACCAAGGTAGTTCAGGAGGTCAATTTTGAATATCGGAGCTGACCTTAGAGAAGGTGTTACCTTACTCAGATGGAGTTTAAGGTACTGGAGGAGGAGTTAGTAGTTTCTATAAATAGTGATATGACTGTCGGGCGACTGAGATGGAAATTTATAATTTTTCTTGGTACACTCAGACGGTTAGAAGGTACATCACGACATCAAATGTCAGTTTTGGTGAACAGGTACGGATAGGGACGTGTATATAATTGCCCTAAGTGTAAAACCTGCTACAAAGGTGGAAAGTTGATCATTAGATATCATAGGAATCTTTAGCCACTTCCTATAACAAATATGGAAGTTGAACTAAACAGGAGTGATAGTTGGTGGGAAGGATCGACATTGATTTGAAATTTCAATTTTCCATATGGAAACCGAGTAGTGGATTGAGAAAGATAGCTTGAGGACATAAATTTGAGTGATGCTTATTTTAGAACTTCATAGTAGTTATATAGTTCAGTGATAGTGGTGTTATAGCATGTGGATGTCCATATTAGTGGATGCAAAGTGCTATTTCGAAGGAGCTTTATGAAGATTTTAGAGCAGCAGCTCTACTCCATATATATAGACGGAGGAATTAATCGAGAGATTAAATTAGACCATAAAGGATATGTTTGAGGCGTATATCCTAGATTTTCATGGACTGTTGGAAGTGTTTACTTCACTTATCGGAATTTTGCCTGTGATATTGTTGGCACAAGGAGGTTAGTGTGACAACTTTGGAGGTTTTGTATCTTTCACAATGCATACTTCTCATTTGTTAGTTGGAAATGGAAGTAAGGGTTGTACAATCAGACCTCGACTTCATTTAAAAATATGTCAGAAATAGATACTTCCCTTTATATTGAACTGCGTGCAGTTGGGAGGCAACAGTAGGATATTGTAAATAGTTGAACTCGTGTACTAGAGTTTTTCTATCAGGGAGTAGTTTGCTTGTTTTGTTTTCTATGTAGGAAGAAAGGCGATTTTTGGAGAAAGGTCAATTTTACTTATTACATTGACTTTTAGACGATTGTGTTTCGCAATTGAGGCAGTCACCTCTGAATTAGCGTTACCAAATTATTAGCGCTGGGTGCATAGAAGTTTGTGCGTATATTCTATGGCACTTGGAGGTATGTAGATCATTCCCTTGTCGACATAGGAGGATTACGTTGTTATTTGATACAATCTACGCATTATATAATTATTGTGTTTCTTAAAATATAGGAACCCTGTCTACCACTTGGTATATTGGAGTTAAGCGAGCCCTTATAGTGAGGTTGCATCTACTTGGGAATAGGAGGATGTTTTTCGCTCACAGTTTCCAAGCATAATGGAAGAATAATAGAAGGAAGTAAGGGTGAATTCCGAGGACGGAATTCCTTTTGTTAGGGGGGAAGAATGTAATACCCCTAATTTTAAAAGGATAGTTTCAGTATTTTTTTATTTATTTTTATTGTATTTTTAAATTATTTAATTGATTATTTGACTAATTGTTTATGTGTTTAATTGAATTAAGTGTTACTTCATTAATTGGCTACTTATCTATGTGTTATTTGTATTTTGTCTAGGTGTTATTTGTATTATTTGTTTAATTAGATTGTGTGCTTAAATGATGTATTTGATTAATTGTAATTAATTGTAAATTAAATGATTAAATGTTTTATTTTATTTTATTTTATGGTTATGGTTAGTAATAATGGGCTAACTAATTGGGTCCTATGAACTACTTGGATAGGATATTGGATGGGTATGGATAATTACTCATGGATAGTTGTATATATATATATATAGATATATATGTATATACATATGTATAAAAAGGAAAGTAATTTATTAATATTATAGTAACTTTAGTATTAATAAATAATCTGATGTATATATTTTATATATTTATATAATAAGGAGATACATATATTTTATACGTAACATGTTTTAAGTTACCTTTTTAATATTATGGTAACTTTAGTATAAATAAATAATCTAATGCATATATTTTATTTAATTAATAAGGATATACATAGATTATATACTTAACATATTTTAAGCTACCTTTTTAATATTTTCATTTTTTTTTATTTTTCTTTATTAAGTTGACTTGGATTGGAAAAAGGAATAGGGTTATTATTTAGCCTATAAATACACAACTACAGGTTGAAATAGGAGTGAAAATATATCACGTAATATATTCTAGAGAGAGAGAGTTAGAGAGAGAATGAGAAAGAGGAAGGAATGAGGAGAAAACCCTTTAGAGAGAAAATCAAGGAAGAAGAAATTTAACTTTCAGTCCGAAAGTTTAAGGCAAGTTCTTCTTCTATCTCTTTCCCTTTGATTCGTATTTCTATACATGCCTAGGAAATTCCAGGATTTATTAAACACATAAAATTAAATAATTATGCATGTTTAATTGGATTAAAACATAGGTTTTTATAAAATTGGTTCATATCTGTTCTTGTGTTATGAATTGATAAAATGCATGATTTTGATTTGATTTCTTATGTGAATTTTTACATGTTTAAATTATGTATTTTTCATATCTGTGGAATAATGGAACGTAGAAACATGCCTAAGATTCCTGAACATTAAATAGGGATTAGGTTTGGGTTTTAATAAATTTAAATAGACTCAATCATAATGATGCTTGCTATTTGAATGTTTTAAACAAACGAATGGATTTAATCTTTTAAAATATTTTAGCAATTGAGATTAAATGTGTAGGATGAATTGGATATGGAGAATCCTTATTTAACGGTATAATAAAATATCATCATGTATAAGATTCAGTTTGTGTAGGACATATGATATAGGAAGTTTAAAGAAATAATAAGTCATTCCTATTATGTGATAACTTGATATCATATTTATCATAGTTATTTATGGAATGTTTGATGTATTTCCTTAATTGTTACATCAATTATTGGATTGTGTGGTTTAATGCACCGGTATGGGACGGCATTTTAGGGATGGATTAACTTATTAGTTAAGTCCTACCTATTTTATATAAGGGAATGGATTAACTAAAATGTTAAGTCCTACTTATATTTAAGTCAGGTCAGCTGAACAAGTTGAATGACTTATGGATGATTAATTTATTATATAAGGGAATGGATTAACTAAAATGTTAAGTCCTACTTATATTCAAGTCAGGTCAGCTGAACAAGTTGAATGACTTATGGAGGATTCATTTATACTGGATAGGATGGTTACTAGATTTTATATATATAAGTATGGTGCCATGATATGAGTTTGAGTCTCATGATCAATGGTTAGGGCGCGTATATCGCCAGGGACGTGTAGCTAGATATAGTGTAGTTGTGTACCCTGGTAGGTCTAGGTACTCATGCCCACTATATGTGCGTTTTGCATGTTGCCTACTATTCAGGTTGAGACAACCCTATAGTCTAGTGAGGTTCCTTTAGTGTGTATATATATATATACAGACAACTAGTTACTGTTGGATTGACTAGGATGTATACGTGTATCGGATCTCTGCTTGGACTGTAGTAGAGTAGAACTTGTTTGTGGGCCTGACCCACCATTATTTTTCAGGTGTTCGTCACGAGTAGAGGTTGTTCGTGCTGAGCGGGGATCAGTCTATTTCATTCTTCCAATGCTACATAGGAGTTCCTTTATGATTCAGTTTCCTGTTTTAGATTACTGTCATTTGTTTAGTTTGGATTTTTTAGGGGTCCACACAGTATGGATTCCCGAGTTGTATTTTAGAGGATCAGTTGTATCAGAAGAGTTTATTAATTATTGGAAATATATTATGAGGTTTATTATTAGATTATCATTTTAGTTTCTTGTCAGCATTTTATTTATTCTTCTTTATTCTTTCGTATTCTGTGTTCGTTTATTATCAATTTGTTTTGATATCCTTGGGTATTCGGGCGTGGGCCTGGCCAACCCGCATTCGGAAATTCGGAGGTCCTAGGTTACCACCACCTTGCCCCAAGGACCACCATGGTATAAGATAATGTGATAAACAAGCACCAGTCACCATCCATACAAAACACACACACACACACAAAAACGCGTTAGTTTGAATTTTTGGCTCAAAATCAACCTCAACAATGTTATTGTGTACTATCTTTTAATTATGAAAATTATGACCCAGAATTGATGTCTTTTAATTGATTAAAAGGTTAATTAAATTCAATTATGAAAAGTAGTGATATTTCATATATATACTGCTATATTATATTGGTCTTAAATTTGAAACCCTTTTAAATTGGAGGTCCTAGATTACCGCAGCCTTGCCCCTAGAACTATCTGTATAAGATAATGTGATATACAACCACCAGCCACCATCCCATACACAAAACACACACAGGACTAAAAAAAACAAAAAAACGCGTTAGTGAATTTAGCCAGTGTGGGGTTCTATTGCATTTGCAGCAGTATGCTTTTGGTGTAATTTACTGTAACATTCATAGCTTTACTTTTATTTTACAAGGTAACATTGATAGCTTTACTAGATTCTTTTTTACCGAAAAATTGAAGATTGAAGAGGATCTTCACACCTATTCTCTATTGCACTCACTATCTCGTTTGCTCCCTCTATATGTCTCACCTTCTCTTCCAACTGCAGCAGAAAAGAAAATGGAATTGGCTGAAGCTTTCCTTCAAGTGTTGTTTGATCGGATCGCGTCTCGTGAATTCATTAACTTGTTTTGGGAACGAAAAGATGGTGATGACTCCTAAGGAAGCTGAAAGCACCCTTGGGAGCCCTTGAAGCTAGCATTGGTCAATAATGCGAATGACAAGCAGTTCAGTAGTGGAGCAGTGAAGGAATGGCTTGACGGAGCTTAAAAATGCTGCCCACCATGCTGATGACTTAATTACTGGATAAGATCGCTACAGTAGCCCTGCAAAGCGAGTAGAAGGCAGCTGAGTCGTCCCAAAGCAGCCACACATTTCGATTTCATGCAAAATAAGAGTCAAAATTAATTGGGAAGAGTACTGTGAGATCCATGCAAGTTATTACGTACCTGTGGGTTTTGTATAGTGCCATCTTGATTTGGGGAAGAGCTTTCACGCTTTTCATCATACGTGGGCTACAAAACACACAGGTTTCATCAACATAAGAATCCATTCAAGATCAAAAGAGAAAGCAATCAAATGGGATTATTAATTAGCAGCAGATGAAGGGTACGTGTTGATCGATCGATGCCATTTAAATGGCAAGTGAAGCCTCGTTAGATTTTTACCTTCAAAATTAGGGCATATTTAATTTATATATAGCTGCACAAATATAATGCAGACGATTAAAAATATTACAGTAAAAAGAAAGATCAAATGCATGTGTTTCACGGTTTTTTGTAGGGTGAGATTGATAAAAGCTGCCTACCAATAAGAAGAAATGATGATGAAACGCCCTGCGTGAACCCCAAAATGGAAAAGTTTGGAATGGGTACTACACCACCTGGAGGTGCATCGGCTCAAAACCAGGAGCAAAATGGTGATCGGGTGAAGTTGGGGAAGGTGTTCCTTGTGATGACTAGTCAATTAAGCTGTTATTTCTTTGATGACCTACACTCAGAGTGGGAACTCCTCTTACTTGGTTAAAACTTAAAACTAAGTGGGCTTCCTACTTTGTTAAAGCAGCAATTGAAGTTGGCTCCGTTGCTAGTCTGATTGCCGTTCTTCTCCATCCTAAGAAGCAAGTGGCAGCTCATATCTTTCAGAAAATCGGAATCATTGCTACGGTATGTGCCTTTATCGTTGCACAGGAACGTCCTTCATTCCGGCCTAGATTGGGGGCTTTGACCTAATAAGCATAGATTCTACAATTTGTTTGTTGTTTCTAAATATTAATTAATTGCAGAAGTCTTTCATATGTATGTATGTTAATCTGCAGAACTTATATATCTGGCTAAGGTGGTTGAATATATGGCACAAAATAGTAGCTCAACTGATTGATGTTACAATGGAAATTAACCATATATAAGAGTAATACAAGAAAATGAATTGTAATGCATGGGGAAGTGACATTAATGGAATATTTTAACACACCAATATTGTGACCAGTGTAAAAGCTGCCCCGATCGATCTCCCGCCTCTCCATTGAAGCTAGAGCACTTGCTTATACACTATGCATTGTCTCTAAATCATCAATTTGCTTCTGCAAATAGCTCAACTTTAGCAGCTTCCATCTTCCAAAATCCTCATTTGTTGGTAATGCCTGCAGGTGAAGCAAACAACCATTGTTAAGATGGAAAATGCAGTTTCCATATATGTCATGGTCCATATAGCTACCAATATCTTCTAGTCAATAATTGTGTTTGGCGTCCGTAAGATTTCTAAAATCTTGGTGTAGTTGAGGAGAAGAATGAAGATATGGTTTTTCGCTCGTCAAGCTCATGTTTAGCAGTTCTCAAGCTCAAGCTTGATTGCAGGGAGTCCTCTTGATGAGTCCTGTCGAGTTTGTTAGTAATATTTTCTGATGCTTGTTCAGATATTTTTTTGCTTGTGAACCTATTCGGGAGTTCGACGAGTTATGCTCATTTACTAAACAAGTTTGAAACTGTTATTTTCAAACTTGAGCATTGCTTGTATTCTTGGTGCCCACGTTAGAAGCTTTGGAATTAAGTTAATTAACCAATATGTCATGGCTTCAGTTTCTAAATTAATACATAGGGAATCCGTACATCGCTTGGCCCATTGCCAGCTGGCGTTGGGGGCTGAGCATGGAGTCATGCCGTAAAGACCGATAGGCCTGGCCCGAATACAAACCAGTTAGCCCAGCCTGCAGATTTATTTATTCATTTACCTTTTGGGCACAGAAAATATTTAAATTGTTTTGTTTTAATGAAAACTCGTTATTGTTTTGCAGCAATAACGAGTTTTCATTTAACCTTCTGAGAAATCTCAAAATGTTTGAGAAGATGTTGAAGGTAAAGTGATCCCTGAATTAATTTTCAAGGATGTTAGGACCCACTATCAGCAAAAGAGAAGACATTGTTAATAAGAAGGAAAAGAAGTGGAAAAAGGAGTGGTGGACTGAAAGTCATCTATGAAGTTTCCTTGAACCTTGTAACCATTTGGAAACGAGCAGAATCCATATAATGAAAGTGTACTCACAGTTTATGGAGAAAAATCATACCAGAAAGATCGAATGTCAAATCAACAATTAGAATTAGGATTTTACCTGAAAAGATTGAATTGAAGATGAGAACCGGTTAGCTGATGAAGATCTGGATTGTGAGAGAGATCCTTTGAGAGAGAGAGAGGACTTCATAAAATTGATTGGGTTAGGATTTTACCTGAAAATATCAAATTGAAGACAGTGATTAGCTGATCGAGATCATTAAGAGAGAGCGGAAGGGGGAGGGGGGCTTTCGTGAAATCAGTCAGTGAGAATGAGTTCGAAATCAAGGGCAGTATATAAGAATATATGACTACTTTGTAGTATACTTTACAAGGGAAATGGAGTCGTGTTGTCAAGGGCAGTATATAAGAAGAGCAATACTTCCATCCTGCGCAGAGAGGATGAACTTCATCCTCCCCAGTGAGGTTGCTCAATGAAATTGTAACAAGTGTCTAAAAATTAATATAAAATTAATTTGGGCATTACTCATCTATTTCCGGATATAACCCATCTGTATATTATTTTTATTATTCTTTCCTTCTTTCTCTTCAGTCTTCACCTCCAGCCATTTGGAATTTTGAATCCGACAGAGAAGTGGATTCAGTGTCAGTGATTAGATTGTGATTGGGATTGAGGCGACGAGGAAGACAACGGCAGCGGGACAGAAGGAGGAGGAGGAATAATAGGAAGATGTTGAGGTTGAGGGGGAGTTGGGATGGTGTTTTTCTAGGGTTTGGAAGGATTTGGGTTCTGTAAATTATTATTATTTTTTTTTTTGATCAAAGGGTTCTGTAATTTAGGGCATTGAAAAGGCATGGAAGTCTTGGATGTGAAGAAGCGATGGAGAGTGTACTAGTGGTGGATTTACAGTTTCGAAGGATTTTGGGTTTCAATTCTTTGCAGTTTTAAAGAGCCACTGGCTATTGGGTTTCGATTCTTTGTTCTAGTGGATTAGCATATAAATTTCGTGGGGAGGAATGGGAATGGTGTTGCTGCCTTTGCCATCGGTGGTGGTGATGTTGCCGCCCTTTGGGGGTGGTGCTACTGTGCCGGCTGGAGTTTCAGTATCGGCGAGCCCAGAGTGATGCCGTCGGCCACGGTGGTCTAGACGTCAGAGAGGAGGAAGAAGGTGCAAACGGCAGACCAGAGGAGAAGGAAAAAATAAAATAAAAGAAAAATTACAGATGGGCAAAATAAATGGCCAATACCTAATTTAATTTTATATTTATTTTTAGACACTTGTTGCAATTTCATTGGGCCACGTCATTGGGAAGATGAAGTTCATCCTCCCTGCGCAGAATGGAAGTATTGCTCATATAAGAATATCTCGACAAAACTAATTTGTAGTACACTTTACAAAGGAAACGGTGCCGTGTTGTCAAATACGTAGTACTTTTAAGTATTTCTTACGTAATTTAAATTTTGTAGGAAATTCATACAACATTTGCTACAAAAATAAATAGATATATTTACTATAAAAAATTTATTGTAGAGAATATTTGGTAGCAAACTGTATAATTTGTTGTAGTGTATATTACCTGTGATGGGAACATCCAGAATATAGGGAAACCTGCCGTGCAAAGTCTGCAAGCTCTTGTTCAGAAGCTGATGTTGCAATCTCCCTGAGCAGAAAAGGCCTCTCAATTTAGCCTCCTAGGCAGAATTCAAAGACTGTCAAATCTGACACCGGGTTTCCATTACCATTTTTTTTTTTCTAGCCTGGTTTCCATTACTTGACATACACTTAAAAACGGAATTTCTTGCTTTAATACTTTCAGAATCAGGTGGGGAGGTGTCTGTCTCTTCATCATTTTCTGGTCTCCCCTCCAAACTTCTCCCATATGTAGTATCATCCTAACTAAAACAATGATACACTGAGACCCGTATGTCAAAATATAATAAAAATACCATAAGATTTCTAACGTAATAAATTAGTAATCAAAGAAAACATTGTAAAGTAATCGTCTTAGAGATTTTTGTAAAACAACAGGCATTAATAGCTTATATTAATGAGTAGGGGCATTACAGGGATGAGTTTTAAGCACTCTCCACTTGTATTAAGGGTTTACTAATCCTATGAATTGGTCTCATTGGTGTAAAACGGGAGAGCCCAAAAATGAATAATAATCTGAGAAATTTGAAAGAGCTTTGCACTCTTTCACCCTTCCCTTTTTCTTCTTCCCATCAACACCATCTCTGGTTTTTTTGCTCCCACCCTCCTCTTCTCTTCTCTATTTTATTACTTCTAATGCAAGTCCTCCCTCTCTCCATGGAATTCATTGTCCTTTTCTCAGATCTCTCTTATATTGCTTCTCTTCTCTTATCTCTCTGTCAAATTCTCTCATTTTCTGACTTCTTTTCTTTTGATCTCTTTTCTTAATTAAAGGCCCTAGTGAAAGTTACTACATCAGTTTAATAACCCTAGTAGAGGCTACATCAACAACTAAGAGATACGTATCATAATTTATAAACCATGTCTTATCATTATCTTATCTATACTCTCTAGTTTTTTTGGACAGCAACAGAGCTGGTTCAGTATATTAGGGGTGGCAAAAGACCAAATTTTCAACATGACTATCTTAACATGGACATATTTACTGTTACAAATCCACTTGAGAATGATGATAGATGGCCCACCCCACCCAGTGGCAGAGGGGAAAGGGGGGCTAGGAGGGGCCATGGCCCCACAAAAATTTTGAATTTTTTAAAAGTTTTTTTACAAATAATTCCAACACCCCCCCCCCCCCCAAAAAAAAAATTTTCCAAAACACTAATTTATTGGCCAAATATATATATATATATATAGTGAGCTTGGAAATAAATATAACTTGTATTTTTCGAAATTTTAACTTGGACCCTTTTAGCCTTTATTTTTGAAGTCCAATATTATGGAACAAAAATGCAAGTTCATTAACATATCACTACTACATTTACAACAATGCTCACACATGTATGATATGGATGATTTGAAATCAAAAGAGAAAAGGAGAACTTATACTAACATGTCCTCATGTTTAATAAAGATAAATGAGTTTTCTTTCTCAAACAATTTTGTTAGATGGTATTAAAGGGAAGCATGTCTTAAATTATATTATAATATTCATCTGCAAGTCTTTGAAGCTAGGAAGAAGGAAAATTAAAGTGCTATGATACGAAGATGACAAAAATGTCAATAACAACAATAACATCATATATGCTAATATTTTTAGTTGTCACTTGTTAAATAAAAAATTATATAATTACTCTCTGTATAAGTTATAAAAGTACTTCTATATTTTGTTCCTAATAATTGTGTTTTATAAAAATGTTCTGGATTTTATTTAGTTAATCTCTCATCAAGTGTAAAACTTGAACAGATTAAGTATAGCAACATAAATACAATGAGGTTGAATAACTTAATCTAGTATTGAAGAAAACAAAAGGCAAAATAATGATATTTTTTTGTTTTCTTAATTGGTACTCACACACATGCCTCCATCGAGGCTCGAACTCCTGACTTTCTTTTGAAAAGTAGGAGCTTGGTACCGCTAGGCCAGTGACCTGTTAGTAAAATAATGATATTGAATCTAGCCAACAAGTTAACAAGGTCCTCTTGCTAACAAAACAATGGAATTTTTGACATAATATGATAATGTGGCTCACCTTGGAAGCAAAGGTCCCTTGGGGCCAATTGAGAAGCCCAGCCACAATTTGGCCTGCTTGATTGCAATCATCAGCAATGGCCCACACAAGAACCAGGGTATCAGAAAAGACTAATCAAGCACAAACGTTTGTAGTAAAACAAATCAACACCATAAAAGAACCGAAATTACTATATAAATAAACAGGCCATAGTAAAACAAATTCAACAAATAAACCCTATTTCAATAAATAATAGTGAAGGAGTAGCCAAACAATTAACAATGCGAATGGAATTTCAAAACCCTCGTATAGTATAGTTTCAAAATTCACCATAAAATTAAATTCAACCCAAATGAATTCCCTAGAAGTTGAAAAACTCAAAAACCCATTTAATTTAAACACCAACTCACCATGTTCACGAACTGGTGCTCGAACTGGTCAATCGTCTCCGACATCTTCTGCAAATTCCTTGTCGCAAGCGCCGACTCGAGTGACTTCGCTATTGATGACATCGACTTGCCGATCGTGGTTATCCTCACCAGCGTGTCGAGCCTCGCGACCAACGGCGTCGAGCGGGACTTCATTCGGAGGTGATTCATCTCCTCGTTGCGCTTGCAGATCGCCTTTTTTAAAAAAATTCATCAGCTAATAAGGACGTGGCCTCATGTGCGCCACTCCGAGGGAAATGGGCTGACAGGGAAGGGTAGGCAAGAGAAAAGGAAATGCCAGAAATTTTTAGACGGTCAGGATTCATTTGTTGTTTATTATTATTATTATTATTATTATTATAGGGGAAAAGTGCAATAAATCCCCCTGAACTATTGCGAAATTTACAACTAACCCCTTAAACTATTAAAATTGCATAAAACCTCCTAAACTATACAAATTTATTACAGATCACTCCATCCGGCCACCGGCAGTCCAAAAATGAGCGCGTGATTCTCACGCAATAGACAAGTTGAATATTTTGGACAATAATGCCCTTCCACCATCTGCGACATCCCCTCCTCTACCTCAACAGTGTCGCATCAACACCACCGCCACCCATCTCTGCAAACCCATAACCACCACCACCCATCACCCCATTCCAAATCTGATAATTATTGATAACAAGATAATAGGTTTTGTTTGGTACACTTATAACATAACACATGAGTTCCTGAGTTGTATAGCTCACACTGACAATGAAACACCACCACCTCTACCTCTGTCTAATCCACCTTTTCGTCGTGGATTCGCCACCAAATATAGCGCAGAGTCGTCGTTGAATCTGACAACGGCCTCTCATTCACCGTCAAAGTCGACTCTCTCACTTTCCAAACCGATGTCCGAGGATACCCTCTCCCTTGTCTCGACCTCATCTGCAAGGTCGCTCAAATCCTCCAATCCTCATCATCAGACCCTTTCCTCGACCTCTTCGGCTACCTCCAAACACTAACCCTAACTCTAACCCCCTCCAAATCCTCAGAAGTCCTCAAATCCACAACCTTCGCCCTAGATTTCTTCCGATTCTGCTCCTTATCCATCCCCAAATTCTGCCGATCCAATCCGATCTGTAAATCCAAGACCCGAATCTGTCTCGCCGGATCTCCAAGACCCAGTCATCTCCCTCTTCGCAGAGCTCATCACAGCCACAGCCGAACCAGTTGTCTCCGCTAGATCTGCCACCGCTGGATCTATCTCGCCGGCGCCATCAACATTCTCACAGCCTGCATTTGATCGATGACAGGGCGATGCCAATCAGTGAATTTCTCAGGAGGGAGAAGACAGGCGACGGCAGGCTGTGTCTGTTTCTTGACAAGGATCTGTTGGGCAGTACCAAAAATGTCGAGCTTAGATGCAAGAGTTGCGAAAGCGTCAAGGTAGCGATTGACAGAACGGGGGACGTGAGCCAGGCGAACAGTGGTGAACCGTGGGAGAAGTTTTTGGATGATCATGTGGTAAGAGGCCAATAAGGGCTCGCGAATTGCAAATTCCCACGAGGTCTGCTTGACGATCAAATTGGAGTCACCGTCTATACATATCCGAGAGATCTGTCTATCAAGAGTTGCTAAAAGTCCAAGAATAAGGGCTTCATATTCTACCTTGTTGTTGGTGCATTTGAAATCGAGTTTGATGGCAGCAGTGGTGGTCTCTGTTGGACAGGATAACATAATACCGGCACCGTCGCCTTTTGCTGTGGCAGAACCATCGAAAGACAAGTGCCATTCTTGAGGCTTCTCGAGGGAGGTAACCAGTAAGTCGTCGAGGGGCAACTGCTCTGCCACAGGTTCGTAAGCTTTATTTGGGAACTGGGCAAGCAGATAAGCGAGGGCTTGGCTTTTAATGGCCTTGGGTTGTTGGCATGTGATGTCAAATTTGGCATGGTAGATGAGCCATCGTGCGGCCTTACCTGTAAGCATAGGCTTTGAGAGAAGATGCCTGTAGGGATCGCATTTGGTGAGGAGGATAATGCGATGAACAAGAAAGTAGTGCCGGAACTTGTGTATCGCAAAAACTAAGGCAAGGCAATGTTTTTCGTTAATGGAGTGATTTTCTTTTTTTTGCATCACGGATCAGACGGCAAATGTAATAGACCAGGCGTTCTTGACCATCAACTTCTTGTGCCATGAGGGCCCCTACAGAACGAGGAGTGGAAGTGATGTACAAGAAGAGGGGTTGGCCCCTGCGTGGGGTATGCATGATTTGTAGGGATAGTAACACTTGTTTGATCCTCATGAAAGCTGCCTGGTGAGAATCAGTCCAAGAGAACTTTGATTTGCCCTTGACAGGTGTGTTAAAGGCATGAGTTACTTCAGCGAGGGTTGGCAAAAAACGGCGAAGGTAAGAAACCTTGCCCAAGAACCTCTTCAACTGCTTTAAGGTTGCTAGAGAAGGCATATCAATAATTGTTTTAGACTTGGCTAGATCCACTTCGATGCCCTGACAATTGACAACGAAACCTAAGAATTTACCATGGTTGACACAAAAATTTTTTTGAAGGGTTTCATCTTGAGATTATATTGTCTACGGTGCTCAAACACTTGGTGTAAGTCATAAAGGTGGTTGGCTGCCTACTTGGACTTAACGACCAAATTGTCCACATAGTCTTCAAGATTGTGATGGAGAAAATCATAGAAAATAGCGGTCATTACGCGCTGATAAGTGGTACCTACATTTTTTAAGCCAAAGGGCATAACAATATAGAGGAAGTTGCCAAGAGGCGTCCGGAAGGCTGTCTTTTCTGCATCACCCTCAGCCATTTGAATTTAATTGTAACCACTAAAGCCATCCATGAAAGAAAGCATTGCATGACCTACCGTGCCGTCGACCAGAGTATCGATAATTGGCAAGGGGAAATCGTCTTTTGGGCAGGCCTTGTTTAAATCTCAAAAGTCAACACACACCCGTATTTGACCATTCTTCTTCTGGACCGGGATAATGTTAGCCAATCAAGTGGGGTGGATGATAGGTTTAATAAAACCAGCCTCTAACAATTTTTGGACTTCATCTTTAATTTGTAGTTCGAGCTCTGGTCGAAAGGTTCGTGAACCTTGCTTAACCGGTCGAGTGTTGGGTAAAACATTGAGGTGATAGGAAACCAACGAAGGGTTGAGCCTAGGCATCTCACTGTAAGTCCAGGCAAGGATATCATTAAATTCCTACAAGAGAGATACAAGTTGAGAATGATCATGAGAAGGGAGCGTACCAGAGAGGAAAGCAATATGGGGTTGCTCATTGGGAAGGGCAAGATTAACTTCGACAAGGTCTGGCAGTGGTGTTTTCTCGATGATCCGAGGTTGGTACTCACGGGGTTAATAGAGTAGACCTCTGCTGACCCCGGGCACCATCATAAACGGTAGATGACGTGACCGTTGGGGAGACGGACACGCTTGCATTCAGGGGGAGCGTCGCTATTCTAAACTGGAGATGGTGGATGGAATACGCCTTTCTGGGCGTCAGCCCAAGTTGGTAAGGGAGTGCTGATGATGGTGGCCTCACAGCCTTGGGCATAATCATCTAGATCATTGAAAAACAGGGCATCCGTGTAATGGGCCTCAAAGGTGGCAAAGGGACGATCGGAGCAAAGAACTGTGACGACTTTGTTATTCCAAATTCCTTTAAAACATTAGTGGTAAGTGGAAGGGACAATACCAAAACGGTGCATCTATGCATGGCTGAGGAGGATGTGATAAGAGGTGTCACTGTCGATGACATGAAATTTCGTGGAGGCCTGGAATTTGTTAACAGCCAGATTAACATTAACGTAACCCAATGTGTGGCGGAGATTATTGCCAAAACCTGCGACCTCGATTGAGTCTTTGATTAAACGATCCTCAGAGATGCCGGCCTTGCGAAAGGTGAAGAGAGGCATGACATTAATAGAGGAGCCAATGTCGAGGAACGCGCATTTGAACTCTACCCGTTTGATTGAAGCTAGCACATATAAGGGTCAATTCCCTGGCTTTGCTTGTCATTATCAGTGAAGGAGAAAACCTTTTTGGTGCCGGGGGGAATGGGTTTAGCGGTGGTGACCAAAGGACACAGGTTAACCTCGGAAGCAAGTGTCTCAGGATCGTGACTTGGGTTTGTCTCGGCAAGCTCATCGTAGCAGGTAATGACAGCTGCGCGATGGTTGGGATATGGGAATCTGCGCGCATCTTTGGGGGGGGGGGGGGTGACTTCAAGATCGCCTGCAGCCATTCGGCGTTGGAAAAGACGGCGGAGGCCCAAACAATTTATGGTGGGATGAGCGATACTTTGATGGTAAGCACAAAAGTCAGCGTTAGCCCTATCTGCGGGGGTAGGCTCGCGACGTGGGGTGGGTAAAACAACAACACTGTCCTTAACCCATTGGGCCAGTGTGTTCCTGACCTCTTCAATGCAAATAGGAAATGGTGATGGCTCCTCGCCTGTAGGCTTGGGTTGAGGCTTATCAAATCGCTTTCGTGGACACTCTTTGATAGTTGCTGCAGGTGCAGGTCTGCAGTTGGATCCCTTCGCAGCCTCAAACTTAGAGGATTCGTATTTGGGAGTCTCATACTTGGCAATTGTAGGCTTGAGGTCTTTGAGATTTCTGGCCGCAATCTTGAGGTCGCCAAAGCTAGCGATTCTCAAGTTAACAAGGTGGAGCTTATAGACTTGTAACATGCCCTGGATGCAAATATCGACAAGGTCCATCTCATTGCTACTTTCGAAGCATTCACCCGCATGATCATTGAACCAGTTGATGAAGGCAAGTACGTCCTCGCTATCCTTTTGAGCCTCTTTTATGAGGGAAAAGGTAGTGACACGTTCTTCAGCTTGGAAAAACTTGGTGAGGAAACGATCTTTGAGCTGCTCCCAAGTGCTGATGGAGTCTGGCCCGAGGTTAAATTACCAGCGGTAGGTACGATCGGTCAAGGACTTGGAGAATTCTCTTAAACGGACCACATAATTGTTGCTGAAGTGGCCCTACGCCTCAACAAACGCATGACATGCTCCCCTTTGTGAAAGAACTCCTGACCTTCTCCCAAGTATCAGTCTGAACAACCGGAGCTGTTAACGGTGCCGGCTGTACCTGAGGCTGAAACCGAAGTGCAGCTGTTACCCCTGCTTCTATAGCCCGAGCAATGAGGTCGTTGATGTGAAGAGGATACTCTGGATCTCCTCCCTGATCCCGAGTCTACTGAACGTCCTCCTACCCCTCCTGAAACTGACCATCATCATTCGGAAACCAGGCACTTGCTGCTCTTCCTCCATTTGTCGACGCTGCAGGCATTCCTGTTGCCTACGTGCTGCTCTCCTCTATCGACTATTCATATTCTGTCTAGCGTTAATCATGTTGTTAACATAGAAAGACAGGCATCAGTACGAGTTTAAATGAACCGTAAAGGAATACAATGAATCCTAAACTTAAGCTCTAATCAAGAGAAAATGCTACGCGAAAATCTTAATACGAAACATCCTAAAGACACTTGAACCTGGAGTGCTTTTATACCAACTGTGATACCCCTCGGATCCGAGACACGGTTTGATCAGGCCCAAGCCCAAACCCGAGGGAAATATCAAACAATTAATATATAAACGAACACAGATTACAAAAAAATAGATTTAAGAAAATAAAATAATAAGGCTGAAAAGAATACTAATATAAAATCCTCAACTGATAAAAATTAATAAAATCCAACTTCTGAAATCTCCAAGTGTACAACTCGGGAATCCATCTAGTGGACCCCTAAACAAAATCCCAACTAAACTGAAATAACTGAAAGTAAATAAAACTGAAACATCGAGAGAAGTCCTACGTAATCTGATGAAGGAGGAACTGTCCTCGAATAGCATGATTAAGCTCTAAGGCTGGAACCGTCCTGTACCTGAAAAGATTAAAATAGTGGGTCAGGCCCACGAACAAGTTCTAATCTAACTGTAATCCATACAGTGACTGATACGCAGATACACCCTAGATACCCTCACAATAGCTATCTAGTCCATACATATATATATCCACACTAAGGGACATTCACTGGACTATAATAAGGGTCTCAACCTGAATAGAAGACAACATGCGAAAACGCACCCAAAGGTGGGCATGAGTACCTAGACCTAACAGGGTACACCTGCGTACTATATCCAGCTACGCATCTACTGCATATACGCACCCTAACCAACGAGCCTGAGACTCAAGCTCATCTCGCGGTAACATAATCATATATCTAAAGTCCGTCTGAAACCAGAGTGTGCCATTCAATTATTCATTGAGGTGACATACAAAACACAGTCCAGTTAGTCACTCAACTTATTCAGTTGATGTGACTTAATTACAACCAACTAATTCAGGAAATCACTCAACTTAGTCAGTTGATCTGACTTAAACACAATTTAGGATCAATATTTTATAATCCTTTCCTTTAATTCGATAGGTTAGGTCTTAGCGTTTTGAGTTAAACCATCCCTAGTATGCCACCGTCCCATACCGGTGCATACAATCCTCCATGTCAATGTAAATTACAACACACAAATAGAAGTTTAATAATTTACAAATCCAAACCATAATCCAAATAATTGCAGGAAGATATTTAATATTCTAGCAATTGTAATCCAAAGAATAATCCAGGTAATTTCAGAAACAAACTTAATATCTCAACAATTAGTTTCCAAAGCATGCATAGATCAAAACTAACAGATGAATGACCCTATCATTCATTTAAAATAAGTTTTAAAACATATTAAATCCTATAAAATTGCTGAAATTTAATTAAGCCATTAAGTTCCTTTCTTCCATTAATAGCATGCACAGTTGTATATTTTTCTACTGTTTCATCCTTTAGCATAGAGACATAAACTATTCAATAAGAGGCTTTAATGCCCCTTGAAATTGGAACTAAGAATCCCAGTATACCCATAACACAGTCCAGACAACATTAACACCATCCAAACGTCGCCTAAAAACTTCAGAAACAAATCCCCGTCAGAGAGCTTGCTCTAAAACTTGTAGAGCAGGCTCCAGAAAACAAAAGAGCAAGCTCCAAGTTCTTGGAGCTTTCTCTAAGTGGGTAGAGCCGGCTCTACAATGGGGGGGAGCCGGCTCCTTCCTCCTGGAGCCGGCTCTCTCCCTCTCTGAGAGTCGTCTGTTGTGTCTGCGAGTTCTGCGACTTTCTTCTTCAACGTCGGCCGCTACCAACCCTTTCTATCTGGTTTTAAACTGTTCCTAAGAGTCCTAACTGTGTCTAGTAGAATCCCCATGGTGTGTTTACAGCAGTTAAAATCAAATACAGAGAGTACAAGTTCTACGAACTAATCATGCTTTAAGAACACAATTTAAATCAGACATGCACGAACTATATTTGAACAAATTTCAACATATACAGAGCATCAATATAGCATCTACTATAACTGTAAAACTCAGTTAATGATTAATTAAACCCTAGAGACTACCTAGGTGCACAGAACACAAGCCAAAGAGAAGGAGGAAGAAAAGAACTTGCCTATGATTTCAGTTATGAAATCCCGGCGTCGTGTCCACTGTTTTGGCAACACTGAGTTACTGTCTAGCCTTCTCTTACTTCTGCTCTTCCCTTCTCCTAGGTCTGACCTTGAAGCCTCAGTCGGAAACCTCACAAACTTGCTCTGTTTCTCTTAAAACCTCACTCTGTATCTCACGTTCTCTGTTTCTACAGAATGTTGCTTATTTTACTAAAACCCTAAATTGCTGTAATCACTGTATTTATAGATGTAAAACACTAAACCCTAATCCTTGTTTTATTAGAGCCAAAGCCCTAACATAAACCTTAGTCGGCCCATATAATAACCTAGGTTATAATATGCTCGGTTGCCTATACGTGAATTGTTATCCAAAGCTATAATTTTAACTTAAATATACTTACTTAATTTTAACATTACAGGAATTATATTAAAACAGTGAATTAAATAAAAATAATACAATTAACAATTTAATTCAAATATCATTTAATAAAGCCACCCAATCAATTAATCAATTCAACACACAAAATTAACAAACAAAGGCAATTAATCAACTAAACAACCAAAATAAACAATTAAACAAATAATAGTTAGCAATTAAACAAATAAAAACCCAATAAAATAATAATTAAATTGCCGAGACTATCCTTTTAAAATAAGGGATATTACAGTCAAAGACTTGGAGAATTCTCTTAAATGGACCACATGATTGTCGCTGAAGTGGCCCTACGCCTCAACCAAACGCATGATATGCTCTCTAGGGGTCACCAGTTATGCCATTAAACTAAGGGAATTTTTGGACCAAATATCCCTGTGGGTATGGGGTTTGCGCAATGGCACGAGGGTAAGGGGGCTCGCTGCCGAAATCCAAGGCGCAAGAAGTTGGTGTGCCTTTCTTGAAGAGGTCACGCACTTCAGAGCGCGTGAAAACCTCTTTTGGAGCAGAAAATGAGTAAGAGGGGAGGGGGGTGATGTGCTTTAGGGTTAGCCTGAGCATAGGTAGGTAGGGAGTAGAACATGGGTTCTTTGCCTCGAGATGAAAAAGTTGGAGGAACTCCAGGGGTCACCTGTAGTGTGGGATTGTAGCACTCTGGAGTAGGCAGCGACAACAGGTCTGCACCATGGTCTTGGCCTCTTGGTGACAGCGTGATGGTCTGTCGCCCACACGGCGGGGGCAGATTCACTTCAGCTGGAGTGACGATAGTGAATGCCATCTGGGTCACTAGAAGGAGCTCCGTCTGAGCTATGGCTGGCGTCATCGAAACTCTCTTGTCAAAGATATGGAGGGCTTCTTCAAACCTTTCCATTCGAGTCATCAGCTGGCGGTTCATACTCTACATGGCCTTCAAAACAGTATCGGTGCTAGATCTGTGTCTGGATCTTGAAGAATGAGACCCGGTGTTGGTAGCCTTAGTGCTAGTGGTTCTAATGCTGGCAGCTCTAGCACTAGTGGCTCTAGCGTTGGTGGCTTTGGCACTAGTGGCCTTAGCGCTGGTGGCTCTGGCGACAGGCACCTCTACCTGTGATGGAGGAACCTCGTCTGGATTCATCGTCTTGCTAAGATATTCCCCAGTGAAGTCGCCAAATGTAGATACCTGTTTCTCGCCTGTCATTGAAAAGTCAAGAGGTCTAGGAATATTCCACTAAACAATATGAGGAATGCAGAAAAGGTGGAGAAAGGGAGAGAAAACTAGTCCAGTGAGAGGATTGAAGCAATGGTATGGAAGAAGCGGCCGTCAATTCTCTTACCCTTCTTTTTTTTGTCACTGCCTCCTTTTATAGCCTTAGGTCATTCGGGTGGTACACTATTGGGCCCCCATCCTGAGGACGGGTCAAGTAGCCCTAATCCCTATATTTCTGGAGGTGCTGCTAAGTGTACCTTTCCTGTTGAATGATCCAAACATGGCAAGTTGTAAAGGCAATTGTACTATTCCAACTGTCTTTTGTTCTTATCCTCAAACTGGGCCTTGCTTTAGTGGGCAAAAAATTACTAATTTTTCATCCTCCATTCCAAAATCCCTTCTGCATCCCATCGTTACTTGAAGAGCCCTACCATAACTCTTCATTGCTCGGATCAAGGTTATATTGGATCGAGGTTCAAGGCTCGTCGATTGATGGTTCGTGGTTAGGTCGGATTGAGATTCAAGGCCCATCGAATCGACGGTTCGTCACTACGTCGGATCGCGGTTCAAGGCCCGTCGATTGACAGCTCGTTACAGGGTCGGATCGAGATTCAAGGCCCGTCGATCGACAGTTCGTGGCGAGGTCAGATCGAGGTTCAAGGCCCTTCGATCGACAGTTCGTGACTAGGTCAGATCAAGGAAAGTTTGTGGCTAGATCGGATCGAGGTTCAAAGGCCGTCGATCAATAATTCGTGGCTAAGTCGTCTGAATGTTGGGCTGAGGTTCAAGGCCAGTGGTCAATTATTACTTGTCTTGCTGAAATGGACTTTGTCCGAGTGTTGACCGCTTAACTTGACCCTTAGTGATCTGGCTGAACCACATCCACCGAGAGAATGAGGGGGAACTAAATCTTGTGTAGAGAAAAAGCAGCAGGTGAGAGATGAACCCATGGAGAGTGCTTGTATATTAGTAGAAAGGGCCCACCAGAGCCCCCAAAGGCAGAGCGTTGGTGGTGGTGGTGTCGGCACAGCCGCCGTGGTGATAACCTCTCCGGAACAGGCAAGGTAGATACGTGTATTGTTCATACATATATATATATATATATATATGGGAAAGCTAACGTTGTCCAGTTGGGCTCTCCTGTTAGAATATGTTAAAATACATAAAAATATTCAATATATACATTGCAATATAGTCAGGCACGAGACCAAAATACCACCACCTTCTGTGGGAGTTAATTGGAGGACTGAAACGCCACTTTCACTTTCGCCACAGAACCACCATCTCCGGTGGGAGTTCCACTGTGGGCAGAAGAGAGACTATACACACGACACCATCCACGCGACCTCACGCGCCACCGTAAAGCGTTCACACTTGTTAGTGGTCCCCCCGCACCGTTTTAGACCAAGAGCTCAGCGTGTCCAGAGACCGAGCCCTTGCTCGACTTCTCCGACCAGATCCTTGCCGTTGTCAAGGTCCTCCATATCCTCGCCATCGACAATTGTGAGGTTCAGCGTTACTGCATACCTCGACCCCCTTCGTGAACGCCTCACCAGGGCCACGGATTCTCCTCACTTAGTGGTGTGGCCGGAAATCATAGAATTCGCGGCCGGAATCCAAGGAGCCAAAAATTAGAAGAGCAAAGGTTAGAAAAATAGAGGAATTAAAATCCCGGCCGGGAATCCTTTCCTCTTTTGATTTTTGGCTCCATGGATTCCGGTGGGAGAAATCCATGATTCCGGTAAAACACGTGTGATCTTTTTTTTTACTGTTATATTTTTAATCTAGCTAGTGTCTGCATTATTTGTGCAGCTATAAATTAAATTCGCCGGAAAAAATCTAACGAGGTTCACATGCTAATGAATCCCATTAATTTGATTGCTTTCTTTTGATTTTGAATATATGGATTCTTATTTATTCTTATTTTGATGAAACCTGTGTCTTTTTGTAGCTCGAGTATACATGAAATCAGTAATTTCGGTATCGAGCCGGGGCCGCTTACTCGAGTTGCATCGTCTAGAAACTCCGGGCCAAATAGAGCGGAAATGGAGCAGGGGTTGCTTACTGGAGTTGAATCGTCTCAAAACTCCGGGCCAAATAGACCAGAAACGACGCCGGAGTCGCATACTGGAGGCACCACAGGTCCAATTGATGATGGGATGAAGAAGTTGGGGGAGGTGTTCCTTGCAATGACTGGTCAAGCGGTTGTTTCATTGATGACCTACACTCAGAATGGGAACTCCTCTTACTTGGCTAAAACCAAGTGGGCTTCCTACTTTGTTAAAGCAGCAATTGCAGTCGGTTTCATTGCTACTCTGATTGCCGTTTTTCTCCTTCACAAGAAGAAAGGGGCAGCTGATATCTTTCAGAAAATCGGAATCATTGCCACGGTATGTGCCTTTATTGTTGCACTGGGAACCTCGTTCATTCCGGGCTAGATAGGGTCACCTACATCTTATTCTACTTTTTTTCTGTCTCTTTCTTTGTAAAATAAAAAGAAAAAGTAGTATTTATTTGGCACCCAATAAATGGTTCAAACCATTTACACATCTTTATACTTTCGGTTTATTATTTGATGACCTTTTTTATAGTAGTAATTTTTACACTTTTTATCCTTTTAAAATTTATTATATTTTATTAATTTTTAAAATAATTAAATCCAATTAGTGCTGCATACTCTTTCATTTATATACATTTTAATCCGTTATTAGATAATGTTGCATACCTAATTATTCATACACACTTTAACCCCATCTAAATTGGATCTAAATTCGATGGAAGACAAGTCCCACTTGTAACAATAAAAAAAAAAAAATTAAGACAAAATTTAATAAACTATTAATGAACTACTCACACGTTTAAATAAAAGAGGCACCATTCATGGTGCACATATTTGTGTGTGTAAAAAATTGTGAAAAAAAATAATAATAATAAGAGAGAATATATAATTATATGTGTTCATGAATGGTGCCTCTCATACAGAACGTAACAGAAAATTAGGCATGATTTGAAATTTTTTTCTGTCTCACTAACCTGCCACCCCACACATGCACTACACCACCACTCCACCTGCCCATGCTCAAAAATGTTCATGTAAGTATAATTAATCTGAAAATGACACAAAATTTTTGTTTACAACTCTTAGACCAGTCTTTGTTATGAGATTCACAAGGTTACCTTGTAATTAAAATGTACGAGTAATTCTTGAATTTTACAAATGAAAAATAATTTTAAAATAAAATCATTCGAATTTTTTTTGACCGCGGATTGATATGGCAATTCAAGAATTCTTGCTAGAGACCGTCGGGTAACGTACTACAAAAAATGAATCATATATTGTAGCTTAAAAAATATCATAAATTGTAATTTTCTGACTTGTCAATGTCAAATATGGATAAACATTTCATAAATTGTGACCGGAGGAGGTCAAACCCAAAAACCACGGGATTGACCATCTTTTTTCTTTGGATATGTATATGCTTTGAATTTAATCCTATCCATGCATCTTGTGTCCTTGTGTGATTTTCAGAATCACAAACTCAACACAACAAACACGACTACTGTTTCCTCCTAAAAGTGTTTTAACTTGTATAAGACAGGTGGCTATGATATTCTCAAAATTTTGAGATGATGTAGGCGGATTTTTAAATGTGAGATACTTTATACATAAGATTTCATACGAGTAAAAAAATTATATGAGTGCAAAATTTACATTAAATTCACACGATAAACACATAAAATATATTAAGGTTGATAACACAAAGTCAAAATTGGTCTTGGTGCTTTATAAAGAGCACACTCCAATTTACATTAAAAAAAAATTAAAATATTCAATACATGTCACAAAAATCAAAATTCAACTTCATATTAAAGTAAATATGACCGTCTTATATTTTGAGATACAAAATTATAAATTAAAGTACTCTAATCATGGTCATAATTTTGTTATTTGAACTGAGCTGAATTAAAAATTTGACTTTTGATTACATCCATGAGTCAAAAATTTGGTTATTTGAACTGGGCTTAACTATTATGCATGTAGGTGAGCCCAAAACTAATATAATAATAAAATAAATCAATTTCTTATTTAAACATAAAAAATTATTTTTTCTTTTGAAGGAAATAGATAAAAACAAATTATTTTTACCATACAAATTATTGTATAACATATATAAATTGATATTATAAGTACGTGTTTATTGTCATAAATTATTTTTTGAAAGTTATTTATTGATATAAATTTCCATGATATGATTGTGTATTATCTTTTAATTATGAAAATTATGGTCTAAAATTGATGTCTTTTAATTGATTAAAAGGTTAGTAAAGTTAAATTACGAAAAGTAGTGATATTTTATACATATACTACTATATTATATTGATATTAAATTTGAGACCCTTTCAAATTAAAAGTCTTAGGTTACCGCCGCCTTGCCCCGGACCACCCTCGTATAAGATAATGTGATATACAACCACCAATCACCATCCATGCAAAACACACGCACACAAAAACGCGTTAGTTTGAATTTTTGGCTCAAAATCAACCTCAACAATGCTATTGTATATTATCTTTTAATTATGAAAATTATGGCCTGATCAGCCTTTTAATTTATTAAAAGGTTAATTAAGTTCAATTATGAAAAGTAGTGATATTTCATATATATATATATACTATATTATATTGGTATTAAATTTGAGCCCTTTTAAATTGGAGGTATTAGCCTTGCCCCTAGGACCATCCTGTATAAGATAATGTGATCTACAACCACCAGTCACCATCCCCATACACAAAACACACGCAAAAATAAATAAAATAAAATAAAAAAATAAAAACGCGTTAGTAAATTTTTGGCTCAACCTCAACAATGCTGAGGGACAATGTAACAGGACAAAACTTTCGCTAAACCTAAGCACGCGCACACAAAAACGCGTTGGGTTCCTCATATTTTTAGTATGTGAGATAGAGTGAGCTATGAGAGAGAGACAACCATTCTTTGTTTTTTCTTTCTTTGGATTCGTTAAGAATAGTACGTAGAGTTTTGTCGGTTGGGCAACTTGGGTGGCTAAAACACATAAAAATAAGATTTTTGCTGATGCTCTTTCTACACATTAAAAATTTATTTTTAACCGTGGACATTCTTAGTTCCATTAATTATTCCAACTTTCTTTTTATGTTGCTTTACAGCGCACCAACGACCAACTAAATATAACTACCCAACGTACAAAATGATTGATATCTGTTGGATGCTTCAATCCAAAGTAGCTTTATTTTGGTCTGTATTAGCCCGTATGGGGTTCTATTGCATTTGCAGCAGTATGCTTGTGGTGTAATTTACTATAACATTCATAGCATTACTTTTATTTTACAAGGTAACATTGATAGCTTTACTCGATTCTTTTTAACCGCAAAATTGAAGATTGAAGAGGATCTTCACACCTATTCTATATTGCACTCACTCTCTCGTTTGCTCCCTCTCTATGTCTCACCTTCTCTTCCAACTGCAGCAGAAAAGAAAATGGCTGAAGCTTTCCATCAAGTGTCGCGTCTCGTGACTTCATTAACTTGTTTTGGGAACGAAAAGATGGCGATAGACTCCTAAGGAAGCTGAAAGCACCCTTGGGAGCCCTTGAAGCTAGCATTGGTCAATAATGCGAATGACAAGCAGTTCAGTAGTGGAGCAGTGAAAGAATGGCTTGACGAGCTTAAAAAAGCTTACCAATAAGAAGAAATGATTATGAAACGCCCTGCGTGGACCCCAAAATGGAAAAGTTTGGAATGGCTACTACACCACCTCAAAACCAGGAGCCAAATGGTGATCGGGTGAAGTTGGGGAAGGTGTTCCTTGTGATGACTAGTCAAGCTGTTACTTCTTTACCTACACTCAGAATGGGAACTCCTCTTATTGCTTGGTTAAACTTAAAACTAAGTGGGCTTCGTACTTTGTTAAAGCAGCAATTGCAGTTGGCTTCCATCTTCCAAAATTCTCATTTGTTGGTAATGCCTGCAAGTGAAGCAAACAACCATTGTTAAGATGGAAAATGCAGCTTCCATATATGTCATGGTCCATATAGCTAGCAATATCTTCTAGTCAATAATTGTGTTTGGTGTCCGTAAGATTTCTAAAATCTTGGTATAGATGAGGAGAAGGATGAAGACATGGTTTTTCGCTCGTCAAGCTCATGTTAGCAGTTCTCAAGCTCAAGCTTGATTGCAGAGAGTCCTTTTGATGAGTCCTGTCGAGTTTGTTAATATTTTCTGTTGCTTGTTCAGATATGTTTTTTCGCTTGTGAACGTATTCGGAGTTTGACGAGTTATGCTCATTTACTAAACAAGTTTGAAAATGTTATTTTCAAACTTAAGCATTGCTTGTATTCTTGGTGCCCACGTTAGAAGCTTTGGAATTAAGTTACTTAACCAATATGTCATGGCTTCAGTTTCTAAATTAATACATAGGGAATTCGTACATCACTCGGCCCATTGCCCGCTGGCGCTGGGGGCTGAGCATGGAGTCACGCCGTAAAGACCGATAGGCCTGGCCCGAATACAAACCAGTTAGCCCAGCCTGCAGCCCAACACATTTATTTATTCATTTACCTTTTGGGCACAGAAAATATTTAAATTGTTTTGTTTTAATGCAAACTCATTATTGTTTTGCAGCAATAACGAGTTTTCATTTAACCTCCTGAGAAATCTGAAAATGTTTGAGAAGATGTTGAAGGAAAAGTGATCCCTGAATTAATTTTCAAGGATGTTAGGACCCACTGTCACCAAAAGAGAAGACATTGTTAATAAGGAAAGGGGTAATTACACTTATCTCCTTTGGGATTAGGCCTAATTACAGACGGTACCCTTAACGTGTAAAAAATTACATCGCCCTCTCTCAAGGTTTGCTCCGTCGTAACACTTAGCCCCCTCCGGTGAAAGTCAACGCCGGTCAATGATGATTTTTGATGACATCAGCACTTTTTAACCCTGTAATACCACATTTGCCCTTACTATATTTGCAAAGACATTTTAACCCTTACTTTTGTATTAAAATAACTTATATACCTAGAAAAAAAAAATAAAAAAAAAGGATAAATGTTATGTAATATCACTCTCTCTCTGTGCCCACCGCGCCTTCTACCCTTCGTCGGCTCCCTCTTGGCTACTTAGTATTCCTTTCCGCCATCCGGCATGCCTCGCCGCCTTCCCCATAATATATATCTACTGGTCTATATATATATACACACACACACACATTGGCTCATTCTAGATCTACATATATATACATAGCTGCAAATCGTCGCTACCACAACAATCGCTGCTGAAATCGATGGAGCCCCTTGCCGCCGGCATCTATGGAAACCCTTTCGCCGACAGAGCAGCTCTCCTCCTCGGCTTTGCCGTTCGTGGCTACACCTTAATCCAAAAACCCCCATAGATCAAGACTTATTCGAGTTCTTCATCGATTTGAACTTCAATCAACCCAATCAACAACATCGTCTTCTGCGAAAGCATCATCCCTACAACGATGACCGAGACGAACTCAATGAGTACCAGAAGAGTGACAACTTCAGCGTTTTCAAATCGTCGTCATTTCACAAGTCTCGTAGC